GGCTATCGCGCAGTAGGTAGTGGCTTGTGTTACAGCTCGGCTGTGATTGGTCAGGTCACCAGCCCTTGCATCTGTACACCGCAACTATAAAACGTGCAGCGATTTTTACTGCGACGCGCCGCCGACGTCTGAGTTTTTTTTCATACCGAGGTGTATTTTTTAACGTCGAAATCACTCGATCATGCCAACTGTTAGAGGAGGCTTTGCCGCCCTCGTCTCGTTTTGCTTCACGCGCTTTTCAGCGTCCCTCAGCGGGCTACGGTGCGTGTGGCTCGCATATGAGGACAAGGACGGTTACGGGGGACGTTCGAAGTCAACAAACAAATTGTTTGTATCGGCTGTTGACATGTGTTTTGGTAACAGATTTATTTGGAGGACGGCATACAGCAAACTACCTCGGCAACTCTGTGTTCAAATTAGCGATGATTATACTTGCCTCTACACAGGCGCCCGCTGTGCGGTGTCTTATGTCGTGTAAACATTTAGTTTTCGAAGTTTTTAGGGCCGTTTGGCGCACTTTCCAACCCGATCGCCGACCGACCTCAAAAACGACAAGTTTTTCATTGCCTTCGGCTCCACAAGGCGGAACGCCCGGGCAAAATCACCTCGAAGATGACTCTATGTTCAAAGGAAAGCTTCTGTACACGGTGGCGCTGAGAGAACACCGGCTACCGTCAACAGTCTTTTTAACATCAAGCCCATCCTCCGGCCACCGTACATGTTACTGTCGACAAGTTGCCGTTGATTTTCAGGATGACTGTGGCAGAGCGATGCACTGCCATGCGATTTGCTTCTTCTTGTCCTTACCCAACAGCTCTGGCTGGCAAAAAATACCTGCTCTCGCCTCGTTCCGCTGAAACCAGTTCAGTACAGTGCCGGTGTCACGTCGCTCGTCCTCTGAACTACAGATCGTACCGGATACGCAAATCTGACTGCTGGCTGGCCCTCCGCAACCGTTTTTTACAACGGACGTTATTCAGCCTCGGTGGTTCCGGTGAAAGAGGTCACCGGATTTCACATCTTATGCAAATTTAGCTACTTTACAACGACTGCTCTCTGTCGAAGCCGGCTTAGCTTCCGAATCGAGTAGTTCGACATTACATCACTTACTGTTCAGATTGGCGTTAGTCTCAGCATGTGACACGAAAAATATCAAGAAGGACGAGTTACGGACAGACCGAAGGTCATCAGCTGGCACCGTCGTGCTTTGGACCATTTTTGGCATAGGGTTTAAGCACTGATCCACCCCCCCCCCTGAGAAGGAAATGAGCGCTTTGAAAATGTTTGAACGAAACGTTACTTTTCGCACCGTACCACTGACTTTTCGAAACAACTTTCGACGTTGGCGACTGTAAACGAATACAACAGACAAAACCGTGGACAAAAAGCCTGCAGATCATTCGAAAGATAAAATAGCAAAGAACTGGGAGACATCGGAGTGCAGCGTAATTGCTATTAGTATAATTAATTTGCTATGGACGAAACGATGCAACATGGAACAAAGCAACAATGCCGTGAAATTCAGTTCCGTTACTTCACATGCCTTAGCATGCGGATGTAGCTTGACGTTTATGTAGTAGTATCTAGGGAGCATCAGTTCCTGAAACATCGTATGGACGTAAAGTGGCCTTAGCGAGAGCGAAAAATGATACGAGATACATCTGGCACTGTAGGGGTTCAAATATCATGTAATTTTAGCCCGCTTAAATGGTAACTAAAAGCAAGGTAGCGATTATACGAGTCTTGGAAATCTGGTCTTGGACTATTTAGGCGTTATTCAGTCATGACAATCATGCTTGTCCCACATACACTCCCTCAGCGTTGTAGGAGACTGACAACGCATTGGACGATGAAACGATCACATGAACCTATAGGTTCTGTCCGGTTGAACTATGTGGTAAAAGCCTAAGAAACACATCCATCCAAGTGAGAGTGAAAACATTTACGAACCAGCCTGACTAGTGTGGGGGGGGGGAGTTAACATTCAAATCCACCAAAACGACATCGCAACTAAAACTACTTTCTTCGGTCCCAGGAATTTGGAATGCCTGCGACAAAGAAGCAGCATGGTCAGGGAAGAAGATAGAGGGTTCTAAGGATATTCAACTTAGGGATGAGAGCTGTATGGTTTACCAATTCTGGTAACGTACCACTACGTTTCACTTTAACACGAAGAAAGGCTTCAGGAACTGGGGAAAATCATATTGGATAAGGTTGGAATCAGCAATGTTGGAACAAACAAGAAATGGCTGTTACGGCTTAACATTAGGACCTTCCCGTATTACAAAGGATCAGCAGACAGAAGTACAAGAATTATGGTTCATCGTCCACAGTAGATCAATTGAAGAACAGTGATCACCAAGTAGACAAAACTTCAGAGATGCGTGTTCTGCTGGCTCTGAGAGTTTTAAATTCATATGAACTCGCAATGATCCAAGTATATATCCCAATATCAAGCCAACCTGGGGAACAGATTGAGCATTTTCACGAAGAACTATGAGGAGATCATAAAATGGAAACCGATATTGCAAGTTAATCATTGATTATTTCGGCGCTAAAGCAAGAAAGTGGGAAAGGAAACGAATGCACCGTTGGCTGATTTGGTTGTGACGAAAGGAATCATGGGGTGGCCGACTAGCGGGGTTCGGTGAAAAGTGAGTCATTTATTATGAACACGTTGTTTCAGAGAAAAATAATTAAGTGATGGGTATGGAGAGTTCCCAAACAACACCAAGAATGAAATCTATTTCATTATTAGTATCATGAATAACGCCATGCAAGGTGCTGAGGTGCTGAGGAGGTTTACTGCAGTGAGGGGTCACAGGTTGGCCATATGCAAAGTTATCCTGAACTGCACTTAAGAAAGAGGGAAGTTGCTGAGGACGAGACGGATGATATGCGAAGTGGAAACACTGAAGAAGAACCCTCCGCCGTCCTAGCTGAAACAAAGTAACCGATTTGACGTCCTTTAAGAAATGCAGGAAGAATAAAAAGAAGAAGCAGAGAATATTAGCGTATTGTATCAGGGTATAATGAAGGCGGTTGCAGAAACGGCGAAAACACTCCGGAACAAGGATCATGAGGGTCAAATGAAAAACCACAAAGCAAACGGAAGAACTAATGATGAAACAAAGACAAATGAAGACAGCAACAGATCAGATATCAACGAATCGAATAAGTTTAACTTCCCGAAACTATAAGGAAACGGATGGCAGATAACGCCTGAGCTTCGAAATGTGGATTGGTAAGGGAATTTATTATAATAATCGAGGCAAATGGAAATTAAGCCCATTTTGGAGGTGATGAATCGACAGGGTTTAACTTTCAAAGCAGAAAACTGAACTATCATAAGTGACAGACAAGAAATTCTACAGAAAATGGATGATCTCTGTAGAAACTGTACAGAGATGAATGCAGACGAAGCTGGGAAAATTCAAGAAATCTTGAAGAATTGCGATATACAATAAGGCAAGCGAAGTGCTGCTGGCGAAAACGGTGTTATAATGGAACTCCTAAAATCTGGCTGAGAAATATTCACTAGATATTAGAGCAGTTTCTTCCATGCTATCTGAAAGAAATGACAGTTCCGGGTGATTGGATGCCTCATCCTTGATCATATTGCACAAATCAGAGTCAAATAGGATATAAGAACTGCAGTCAGATCAGTAAACAATCATCTACAAGATCTACACCAAAGTACTGACGAAGGAACTTTTAAAGGGAAACTAGATGCTGCCCCGTCAAAAGGGTAGGCGGTATTCAGAAGTGGATTTATTACGATTGATCGCCTTTAGATAGTACAACAAGTAATTTAGAACAGTAACGAATATCAGCTTCCTCTCTATCTGAGGTTCAACTCAATCCATATCCTTTGGATTCTTTGAGGTAGTAAGTAACGGAGAAGGGATGCAGAGACCTCATCGCTATTTTGCGCTTCAGCTGCTAGGGTGAAGTTTTGCAATGGCATCTGCAAGTTCAAGATCTACTAGGGTTCCTGACAGGGAGATGCAACATCGCCGACGTTATTTACAGTTTTTCAAGACACTCCTTTGGGAAAATTAAGAACTGAACATAATCGGGTGCTGTTTAAGCCTCCTGCGGTTTTCGAACGAGATTTTGATTTTGATCTTCTTAAGGTCCACCAGAAAAACCCCAACAAAGAATCCAAAAGCTGACAGCGCCAGCGTCACAGTACAATCGAGGATGAACCTGAGAAAGACTCAGGTCATGTTCAATAAATGGGTGACCGCGCGATTTGTTTAAGTCAATGGACTTAGGCTTGAAAAAGAGCAAAACTGCGTCTCTCTGGGACAGCTAATTTCTGCAATGAAGAATCGACGCCTTGTGAAATCATCAGAAGAATAAAAATTGCACGAAGGGCTTTCGGAAGGCCGAAAATGTTTTCTTATAGGCGGAACTGCCCTTCTGTTTGAAACGGCAGGTTTCCGGTCAATATTGCTCCATGTGCTAATTTATGATTATGAAACGTAGACTCTGTGTCTAAAGGTAATTCATAAACTGCTGACTGTACGATGCAACACGAAAAGTTGTATGTTTGTAATAACAATAAAAAATTGGAAAATGAATGAATCGATTGAGGAAAAAAGTAGAGATTGCAATCGGAACTGTGTCCCGATGATGCTCACGAAACGCGTCAGCAACGGACTGGCGTAGACTACCAGCATCAGTGTTGTTTGGTTCCCTAAACGATGAATCGTCGAACAACCTAGTATCGGTATAATACTTGCCCCCTCCTAACTTTCAGATTTGCGGCGATAGACTGAGAAATGTGCCGTTTAACTGGCAGGTGGATCAACACATGTTCCATTGTTAGAATCACCTCGAACTGAGGAACTTTCGGTGGCTTAACGTCGTTTATCGGCGCGTTTCAATTTTACTCAGCAG